GGTTATTGTTGATTGATTGTAAGATTTAGTTCTATATTTTTTTTTCTCAATGAAATCCAGTAATAATTACTTTATATTTTTATTGGGCCCTTAAGGATTCAATTTTTTTTTATTACTTAATGTATTTAGCGAGGTTATTACTTTAGTCCATTGGCCCAAGTCGGAATCGAAAGAAATTATTATATAATCGAGATTATTACTTTATCGAACATTACTTTATCGAGGTTTAACTGTAGATTCGACGCAAAAATGAAAAGTCGACACAAGCAGGTAAAGAGCAAGTGGTTTTGTTGTAGTTGCTCATCCATGGAAAATTGCCAACAGATTTGGCATTACTAGATTGTCACGTGATTGAATGAATTCCGGCCGTCAACTTAATGTACTTCATAGTAGAATGCGGCTGGGTGGGCCCCAAGGTCACGTGATTTTATTGTTTTTGGACGTCATTAAAATTCATTTGACGGTTGTACTTCGTTTCGAGTTAAATCAAGATTTATATGATTATTATATAATGACAAATGAGACTGCATCTATAAAAACTCAACCCCTCTTGTTTGGAACAAGGAAAAATCTCTCGCTAGAGCATAACATCAGTAGAATTCAAAGGTCGAATTTTGGTGATAAAGAGAGAAAAAATGCTTCTCCGTAGCTCTTCAACGCCTGTACTAAACTCATTGATTCCACACTCAAGGGAACCCTCCTCAGAACCAGATTTCATTCATCAAACTCCGAAGTCAAGATGTTCAACAATTTTTCTGTCATCATCCAACTTGATAGCTTCATTAGATGAATCCATTAAGAAGTTGTCAAGAACTCTTTCAGAAACCGATCTCGAAGATCTCAAAATCCCATCAAAACCTACCAAAAAATGTACGTGCAATATGCATCACTTGCTTTCCACCATTGTAGTTGAAGAAGAAGAAGAAGAAGTAGGGCCTACTGGTGGTGCTTTCTTTTTGTCATCTAATTCTGGACTTGATTTGGTGGAGGATGTTGCAGTCGGTGGAGGCAGTATACACGGTGGTGGGAGTGGAGGAACGCCGGGTGGTGGTGGTGGTGGTGGTGGTGGAGATGGAAATGATGGTAGCTCTCAGTATTGGAATTCGAACTTTGGAAGTGGAAGTATGGATTTGTATTACCAGAATATGATCACAGCTAACCCAGAGAATCCAATATTTCTAAGTAATTATGCAAGATTCTT